TACTGCATATTATACTTATATTCATATCAGTGCACGATACAAATAAAATCACTGTACTTATATCTTAATATTTGATAGGTACCTCCTTAGTTACCTGTCCATTGTCCATATCGAAAGTTTATTCCCATGATTTACTCATGGATCAATATTACATTGACTAAAATTTCACTTGGGATATAGTATTGCTATTAATTATATTTTCGAAATAACTAAGGTAAAACTATTAATTATTTTAAAAATAGTAAAATTAAATGTGTTTGCGCCGGGAACGGACAATAATAGGTCGTGCGTTCCGGTCACCGAAATATTTTGTATATATTGTCTATACCACTATATAGGCCGACCGATCGTTGTGTGTATGTGTGCGTGTGTAGTGGTGTGTGTAGTTCGATCAGCAATGGTCGGGATCGCCGGGCATAAACTGATGAACTACGTCTGAAATGTGGGTGTGTGCGTGTGTATATATATGTATGAGTGTGTAGGCTTACAAATAACTAAGAATAAAATGGTAACACGTTTCAGGTAAATAAGTTGCTGTATAAAACACGATATCAATATACCTTACATATATATAAAAATCACAGCAACATAATAATATGGTTTTAAAATATAATATAGTAAACAACTCACAGTTTGTGGAGCGCTGACTGGCCAGCTGGTCCTAGCTATATAATAAAATATAGATTCACACAAACACACACACACAAAATGGAAAAAATATAAAAATAATAATAATGAAAATAATAATAATACTACAAGACACAATATTATACACTGTGCCGGAACAATAATAAATGTGGCGATTAGCGGCGATCGAAATAATATAATAACTACGCCCGCGACGATCAGTGCACGCCGCACCAGGTTAGGTTAGGTTAAAACAATAATAATAAGAGATGAGCGCACAGTGCACAGACTAAAAATTATAATATATAATTTACGCGCCGACATAAACAATATTATTATACTTGGCAATTCGTGCCGAAAAATAAAAACTATTTAACACTTCAAAAGAAAACGGCGATTTGCGCACGTAAAGTGCGGCGGTGAGAATTTACATATCATATAATAATTCACAGCTGATACGGATAATTAAAACATAAATAAAAACAATAGTATAAATATATAGGAACAAACAGGTAACATTTATGTGATGTGACTATGTGAGTGTGTGTGTGTGTGTGTGTGTGCGGTCGGTGGCGGAGTGGTACGACGGTGTAACGATGTTTATTTTTTGGCTGAGACAAAATGGTTAATACATTTTTGTATTAATTAGAATGCAATAAATATATTTTGTAGAAAAATCATTTTTTCCTTCCAAAAGTAATTTCATAAGAGTAATACAATTTTTTTTTTAAATCAATGAACAATAATGCAGTTTAGAACATGTTTTGTAACTACAAACATAACATCATTGAAATTTTAATGAAAATATTTGTAGATCTTACGCATTTATTGTCAAATACAGAAATACACAATGCATTGTCAAAATATTAAATCATAAGTTATAAAATAACAATTTCTACAGCAAAACCTTCCCAATAAGACAAAGCTTGTTACTTTAACTTGTTCTTGTCTGGGAGCTTGTTTAATGTTCAACTCAATAAAAACTAATATTTGTACTTGTATACTTGTTTTCTAAGACTTTAATTACATATAATAATATAATATCGTTATGTGTACTGAGATTATAATGGACATGTATAGGAATCGAAACATTTACCCTTTATCATTGCTTTACCTTCCCTTTTATAACATTGTTTGCAGTATCTACCAATTGTTTTAAAAACATAAAATCTACTCAATCAAATATCCTTTTAATTTTTTCGTAATTTTCATTTCACTCATTTATTTTTCATTAATAATAATTCCGTCTGAAACGAATGTCACACGTCCACAGTACATAAAGTTAATAATTATTACCCAGCTATAAACGCTGGAAACTGAGGGCCCTGGTTTCGACGCATGAGTCCGTGGGTGTGGGTTGATGTGTGTGTGTGAGTGTGTGGTGGTTTTGCGGTCGAACACGGCCCTTTCAGATGATGCGTGCATTACTCGGGAACGGTCTTGACATTTTTGGAATTCTCAACCGCAGAATAGTTCGGACGTTTGGAGACGAGTGCACGGGCAAAAAATAAACTGAAAATTGTATATATATCCAACGGTTAATGATTAATGTAAAATACGTCCGTTATACACAAAATATTAATAATAATAGTAACAAAGACGCGACGACAACGGGGTTGCATAGTTTATCTTGTCGTTCCACCAGATCGATATTACACTGTGTATCCTGCTTTATTTAAGCTTGAAAATATTATTTCGTGGGTCAACTGGAGAAGAAACTTAACCATGAATACTGTCAGTAAACGAACTGAAAACTTTTGGAAAAATTGTACGAAAATAAAATTGGCTCGTGATGAGATACGGGGTACGTGCGCGTTTTCGCACTGATTTACTGGGAAATGAATACCAAAAATAAATTACTACCTATCGAAGTTAAATTTATTTATTCCAAGGGACTGCTGATTGTTGCCTGTTGTTGAGGTATTATTGAGAAATTGAGCAATACTCATGCACCGCATATTATATACTTGTATTGTGGATATTGTGTTATACCTACTTATAGCTTAAAAATCGGTACACATCTTCAACTTCGATGGAAATAAGTAAGAACCAATAATAATATTTAAATCAGTACAATTATTCTACGATATATATTTTATTTGTGTACCGTATATCTTGGTAAATTATGGAATAATTTAGTGTTTGATACATATATTATTTTATTGTATCGATTCAAAGAAAAAAACCATTATAAATGTTGTCTTATTTTTTCAGTGTTCATTGTTGACTTTCTGCCGTATTTCAACAGTCCATTCATTATTCAATAACTATTATTTTTATTTTATCTGTATTAGGATGTTATGTTCAGCTTGATTATAATTATGCACTTGTAATTTTATATATACCTACTATTATATTTCCACCAATCGAGCCGTGAAAGTAATAACAATATTATGAAACATTAATTTATATTAATTCAATACATTTTTTCAAGTACCTATATTGAATAATTTAATATATACACTTTTGTGTAATAAATTGTAAAATCTATAAAAAAAAAAATGTTATAATATTTTAGTTTGATTTTCACTTTCTGGCGTATTTTTATAGTGACGTTATTATATACCACAAACGCTATTAATTTAATTTAATTATCTACTTTTGCTATGTCTGAGAAGGTACTCCATTAATACAAATTATTAAAGGATTTGAACAATAATTGAATACTGTAACTTGTTAGTAACCCATAATTATTATTAACTTTTCAAACAGTATCATATTATCTTAAACCAAGAATTAAGTTAATTTAATTTAAATTTCATAAATTAAATTTAAAAACATGTATTATGGATACTACATAATATCTATATTTTGTCTTATAATATTATTGAACATTTAAAAATATTATAGTGACATTTAAATTGTATGGTTAAATTGCTAAAAATATTTGGTGAGCATTTAAAGTATCTAAAATAATTATATTTTGAGTTACAGAAAAATATCCAAAATTGATTACATTAAAAACTCGTAGTTACATGTTGTGACGAACATTTTTCCTTTTTTCAAAAATATTGTTCTCGTGTTTTAGATAGGTACTTAAAAAATGCGTTTTAAAAAGTGGAAACTAGTAGGTACCAATTGATTTATATTGTTAATAAAACTTTTGGAGTACAATATTATACTCAACAAATAAAACTAAAATACATGTCATTGCAAGATCAATAAAATGTTTCTCTCATCTCTCAAAATATTGACACATCATTATTTATTATTTTGAATCCAATAGTATACCTCTCTAGTAGTTTCTGTCATTCAAAATACAACATTAATTAACCGTTACTAATTAATATATATTATGTATAATGGTATGTACTCATGCACTATCGGCGAGCGAATACGAGTTATTTTGAATACCATGATCATTGATCTGATCAAACAAAAAACTTATTTGTTTTTGGGTTGTCTATATCATTATTATTTATAATTATATTACCTTGCCTTACTGCAAAAAAATATTATTTTGCTGTTAAATTATTCTTGTAATGTATAATCATATACCTATGAACTCGTTGACTGAAATTAAAATGTCGAGAGATTAATATTAACTAAGTTGGTATATAAACTGAGGTTTGGTCAATACAAATTAAACAATATCAATAATTTATTGATAGGTACGGTGCAGTTGATAATGAACTAAGGATTAACGATATGAGTTTTATTTGGACCGATGATTGAAATTGAATAATATAATAATAATCATTAAAATATGCACCTAAACGTTTTTAATGCAATCTAAAATACTGATTGTTGATTTTTGTAATTTTCACTTTGCTCATAAAATCATGTTAAATTAAAAATATAACATATAAATTTTGGAATGATTCGTATAAATGAATTCACCTAGATGCTATAATAAGCTTCTAAAGCTCCACGGATATAATTTAACTGAAACCACCCAAATACATCATAATACTTACAGTACTGTGTTAATCTAATAGAAATAAAAAGAACTATAACAGTTTCCCATTATAATAATAGTATTTGATTTTTGAATAATATCAGACTTCAACCTAAATTGTTTGTAATTTTAACGCATAGCTATAACAGCAATCTATAGTGAATTGCCTTTCTACGTAGAGGTACCTACTCATAATAAAATCTGTTTTATGTACATTTACTATCCGACAACGCTTTTGCGTAATTAACATTTATTTTTTTGCTAACGCGACGTTTTTTAGTTTGTACGCACAAAGTGTGCGTTATAATACTAATAAATATTCATGGAGAAATAAATTAACATACTATGTTTTGAAAACTTGCTGCCGCCTCTTCGAAACTGTTGTGCGTGCGTGTGTGTGTGTGTGTGTGTGTGTGTGTGTGGCCTATGTTGTAGTTTCGTTCAATTTAACCAAACGTAGCAATTTTTTCCACAGGTGAACTTCAGCGGTAACCGCCTAGATGAACTGCAGTATTTGAACGGCGTGTGTGTGTGTGCGCGCATGCGCGTGCACCTGCGGCTAACGATGGACAAGCGTGACGCGAAGACTCGGTTGGTGTACGCGCTGTTGTTCCTGTTCGTGTTTTGCGGCGAACAAATCACTGCCGATTTCAGTAAGTACAGTTTTAAGAAAGTTTTGTGGTGACGACTTCGAGTTTAGCGGCCACACAGACGGGTGTGCCGGGGGTGAAAATCGTAGTCTCAAAGTTTTCCCCGTCCAATACATCAACACCGATACACTTCGATATTATAGTCAATGAAGGCAGTACACCTGACGCGGATTTGGTGGTCCCGCAATAGACGTGTGGGTGGGCAATAGTGGGATGGTGGAATGGAAGGGTGGGTAAAAGTAAATAATGACGGCCGTAATACGATATTGTCATAGCGCATAGGCGCGCCTTACGTATATATTATGACGTATTATATATTACTATATTAGTAAACTTTGAAACGATTCCGAACACGCGTCGTTGTTTTAACCAAATTATTATGTTAAGGGGATGCCAACCCTTCATGCGTTGTCTCCACCTTACACACATACAACATAGACAATTTTCATACTGTAGAGCCAATGTCGTGTTCTTAGCTTTAATATTATAGTGAATTTACATATTATAAGTAATAACATTTAAAAGTAAGAATATTATTTAGGGCTTTTTGTAAGCTCATAAATAATATTGAAGCTAGTTATGATAATTTGAAAACTCTATGATATTATAATATATTAATATTAGTTATTATTAGTTATAACTTACTTTTAATTTGAAATATTAGTAAAATCCTAAGAAGTGTTCTATAAATGACTATCACTGTTAAAGTAGGGAAGAAACTTCAAGTGTGATAGTTAATAAGTCAGATCACTCAAAATATTTTATACTTTTATGTTCACGATCATAAGTATATGTATTTTGATCATTTGAAATGCAAATAATTTGTTAAGTTGTACAATTTTGTATACATATAAAATGTTTAATAACCCTGTGATCTGAGACCATTTTTTTCTAATTGTAGTTGCAAATTATATTTATAAATTACTTTTTGATTTAATTTAAAGTCACTTTGAAACCAAGTCAGAGTTTAATTAACTCTACAATCTAATAAAGTAAAAATGTCCTTATATAATATGCTGTTTTGAATTGTTTTAAAGAAATGAATACGCTTAAATAGAACATTATGATACACAGTTGTAGATACATATACTTATATATATATATATTATATATATTAACTATTCATACATTTAAGTTAGTAAATAGTTTATCTTGATGAAATAAATTAATAAAATCATTTATTTGTTTGGAAATAAAAATGTCAAGTAAAGAATAAGTACAGAATAGCAAAATGTAATATAAAGTAATGAGAAAATAAGTTTCTGCTAACTAGTAATTTTAGTTGGGAATTTCTGTTTATCAGAAAAATGTTTATGGACATTTTCGAAAACAAATCATACATTTTTCTGAAATAGTCTACAAAAATAAATAAGTAATAACCGTACTGTACATAATTCAATATTTTATTGTATGTCGTTATATATTAAGTTCATTCTAAAATATAGGAAATTATTAGAAGTCCTGTATCAAAAATGTTTAAATCTCATTTTAAATGGTTCAATTTTAGGGGCGTAGCCGTTTTCGGCCAAAATGTACCCTTCCCTTTTCGGCCAAAACTTATCGTTCCCTTTTCGGCCACTGTCACTTTTCGGCCAGTACCTACAGTTTTCTTTAAAATTTACGAAAATTAACTTAACAATTTTTATATTTAATTAAATATGATTGTATCTAAAAATTACATTTTTGGGTAAACATTACTAACTACAACTGAGTGAAAAAATAATAAAATAAAACAATTGGCAATAAAATGATTTAACATATTATTACTTAGTCAAATAAATTAACAATTAATTTTTGTTTGAAAAATGTTACTATTTTTATTATTTTTACTTTTCAATGTAAGTTTAATTTCGTTCATAGTTGGTTTTTTGGAAATAAAGATAAACCAGTGTTTTTCCTTGTTTGATATATATAATATAAAATGCGCCCCAATCAATTACAGTGATGTGTCCAAAGTATACCTATAGACTCTATAGATAATATAGTATACAATACGTATAACATATAATATAGTACCTTGTCGTTTTCATCTTATCTAATATATATATTATATTATGGAAAACTAATTAGGTATATGTTATCGTGGTCGTCAATTTAACACGACACACACACACACACACACACACACACACACACACACATTGTACGAAACGATAATAAACACTCAGTACGAAAGTGTTCTCGTATACATAGGTACCTACATACAGACGTTTTTTTTTAAATTAAAATTAATTAAATTATAATTTATAATGGCCGAATTTATTGAAAGTAATCGGGGAAAGTCTTTATTAGTTTTTAAACTTTTTAAATTTTCAAAAGCTAATACAAAATTGGACGGCACAACTCGTTGGAAGTGCATTGATCGTAAGTGTGATGCTATTGTATATACAGATCAAACAAATAAAATTTGCTCAGAAAGCGAGAATGTAATACACATAAACCATGGTCCATATACAAGGAATTTAATTGATCGTCAAATAATTAATTCAGCTTGTAAAAGAAAAGCTGAAGATGATCTTCATTGTAGACCAAAAAAAATTGTTATGCAAGAAATTTGTAAAAATACGTCATCGAATGCCAATATTATAGACGTTAAAAGAATAAGCAAAAATATTTATGAAAAGCGTAAAAAAATTCTTCCTGCTGTACCTAAAGACCTCGCCGGAGTACATAAAGCTTTAGAAGATACGAAACCGGTGACGAAAGAAGGTGAGCCTTTTTTATTATTTAATGACATAGAAAAACACGTTATTATATTTTCTTGTAACACAAATTTAAAGTTATTATCGGAAATAGATTCAATATACATGGATGGTACATTTAAATTTTGTCCTCGGTTTTTTACCCAAATGTTTACCATCCACATACTTAAAAATGGACATTATATTCCTATTATATTTTGCTTATTACTAAATAAAAGTTACGAAACTTATGTATATACTTTCAATAAAATAAATAATTTATTAAATGAATTAAGTATACAATTTTCTCCAAAATGGGTCACGATAGACTTTGAGATGGCAATTCACAAAGCTGTTGAAGACGTTTGGCCTAACACTGAAATAGTGGGTTGTAGATTCCATTTGACCCAAGCTTGGTGGCGAAATGTACAAAAATTTGGATTATCTGTAGATTATAATGATATGTCATCTGAAATAGGACAATGGATTAGACACACTTTTGGATTATTGTTTTTAGACCCATATGAAGTATCAGAATGTTTTGTAAACGATTTTATGTCGGACTGTCCTGATGATGAAAGATTAAAAAAATACTGTGATTACTTGACTGACAATTTCATAAATGAAGAGAGCTTATTTCCACCTCAATATTGGGCTGCTGCGTCGGGAAGTTTGGCTAGAACCACTAATGCTTGCGAGTCGTTCCACTCCTTTTTCAATCAAAGTTTTTATAAACATACTCCATCCATAATGAGCTGGTTATCTATCCTTATTAATGAAGTTCAAACAGATATATACATAAAAATTAGAAGTATCAACATTATAAAAACACCTCGTGATGCAAAAAATGTGGAACGGCAACGACAAAATGAAGCTTACATTGAAGACTATAAAAATAGTAAAATATGTCGTTACAAATTTGTGAAACAAATCTCATACAATTATAAAAAGTGAATTTTATTATTATTACATAGGGATTATATGACTATATTAATTTTTTCAACTAATGTAATTATTACGTATTATAAGACTATATTAATTTTTTTATATTATCAACTATATCACTATAATCATGACTACAATATTATCATAATATTTTGACATATTCATAAATTTATATTTTTATTATCGTCTATCATAATTATTATTATATACCTTCTTATTACCTATATGTATTATATGACTATATTAATTTTTATTCGATAAATTTATTTGATAACATTGATTATAAATACTAATATAATATAATAAATTGTAATAATAATATGTTATACCAGTTTATTGCCAATTGTTTTATTTTTTATTTAATTAAAAAGTTCGTTTGTTATTATTGTAAATTTTAACTGTAGGTACTGGCCGAAAAGGGACACTGGCCGAAAAGGGAACGGTAAGTTTTGGCCGAAAAGGGAAGGGTACATTTTGGCCGAAAAGGGGGCCGCCCAATTTTAGAAATGTCCTCTAAGACATATTATCTGAAATGTATTATTACTAAAGCGCCAACCAATATACTAGTCATCGGGTTTTTCTTTTTTTGTAATTATTGACAACATGTTTTATTGTTATTCTTTACGTGTGATTACACATCGTGATTAGCATTATACAATTATAATTGAACGGTTCGTGGCGTTTACGACCCGATTATATTATTAAAAGCTAGTGTTAAATTGACTGGTATTAGTCTTGTGGCTGACCGATCGATCAGAACACATTATAACTATGGTTATGGTTAATACTTGTTATTATCCGAAACGATGAATTGAAATACGTTGTCATTGATTCATCCTATTCATATTATAATATACGGTTCCCTCGGTCTTTATGTTTACGCTATAATGTGAACTTCCGTCATTTTGTGAAATCAGTTCATCATTACACCACAATCATAATACATATATTTCAGTGAATATTAGACGACCAGTTACAATTAAACCATCATGATGTGACCTTTGTATAAATCCTTAAAAAATAAATAAGTAATTACATGTTTAAATCATTGCTTTTGTATTGTCTCCTTATTAACTGTTAATCGTGACGAGGAACATAAAAAATAAATATATAGGTACCTATATACATACATACATATCAAAATTAACATCTAAAATGTGTATGCTTTTAAAGCAAAAATAAAAACCTTGTACCTATCTTAAAAAAAAAAATTATAAAAATGAATAACATCAGTGAAATTCTTTGTTATTTTCATATGATAACACTTTGTTTAACTAAACCGTATAAATGTGTTTTGAAACTTGAATAGAAAAAATGTATATATATTTATCCTCGGAAAAAGAAAGAAAAACATCATGGACTTTTTTTCCATCGTTT